AGGACAAAACACATTGAAGTTGATAGACAGTTTATAAGAGAAAGGGTAATAACCGGAGAAGTTTGTTTGCCTTATGCCTCTTCAGAGTTGCAACTGGCTGATGTTCTCACTAAATGGGTGGCAAAGAACAAGCTTGAACATGATTTGCGCAAGTTGGGAATGTGTGACATTTACTCCCAACTTGAGGGGGAGTGTTGAAGATTAATCAGTTTTATGATGTTTTTCTGAGTAGATGTTTTATGTTAGTTGTTAGATAGGAGGTGGGGACCACAGTAGTTATGCGAGTCCAAATTTTATTATTTTTTAGAGTGTTATATATGCTGTTTTATGTTTGCCGCCCTATAAGGGCATAGTTGTCTTTTATTGTTCTATTATTTTTAGTATAAATAATAAGTGAAGAGGGCGGCCAAATCATTGCTCTTTTTTCTTTCCAACTTCTCCTCTTCTCCTTCTCTCTTCAAGAAACTACTTTTCTTTCATATTTTTTTAATTCAGCAGATTTCTACTGTTATGGTACTCTTTATGAGAGTAATTCTTCCCCCTCTTGAGAGATACTTTGACTTCCAATAAGCCAACTTCTTTTTCAACCTCTCAAGAGTCATAGAAAACCACACCATCTATGCTTCTATTGATTTTGGGGAGGGTAAAAGCCATTTTTCCCCACCTCAAAACCAAGCATAACCTAACAGAATGCAATATATATATATATATAATTTTTATGGGGGTATTCTCTCAAAACATTTCTCCTTGTCCTTAATGGATCTTTTACAAATTACCCTAAAGAAAATAACTAGTTGCAAAATAGGGTAGCCCCATTTGGGAACTGATGCTTTTATGTGTATATTGTAAGTTGCTACTATTCTTTCTCTTCTTCATGTGAGCATCTTGACTATTTAAATGTTGCATATTTTGACGTTGTCCAGGTAATTTTACTAATTCACATCCTTGTGGCTATATACTCTACATTCTTTTTCACGGTTTCTCCTAGTACTATTGTACTACAATTAATATTTTGTATTTTAATTACCAGCAAATGAGAGTATTATCTTTTGTTGAGCAAAGGTAAAATGTAAAATTTATTTCTTTTATGGGAGTCTTTTGGGCTGTTTTAAGTTTGAGATCAGAATGGGGCATTAAATTAAATTCAAGACATTTAATGTCTATGCAAAATGTTTGTCCATTAATGTTGGGTTTAGAAGTATTCTCTGATGCAAGCAGAAGCCTTAGGTACTATCTCCCTGGATGTCTTTTTTTTTGTGGTTTTTGCATGTAAGACTAGTGCTGAGACCACAACTGCGTAGTTAATATTGGCTTAGTACTGCCTATGTGTTAACATTGCAAGGCAAGTTGATATCTAGACGTATGCATGTATAGAACAATGGTATCGATATGGGTTGATCAAACCCTGATAACAGGCAATGGGGGAAAGCTCTTGCTAGGTTATTGGGTTCTGATTGGATTCGGAAACTCTTTAAAAGTGGAGTTGTTAGCTCTTATCCAAGGTCTAAATCTTTGTTTTTTTAGATGAGTTTATCTAAGGTCTAAATCTGTGCATGTCAGGGTTGATGGGCTTGATAACCAATGGAGACTGTTAAGTGGTCATAAATCAATGAAGTATCTTTGGATGTTCAGACTTCTGGTTAGAGAGGCAAGAACTGTTAAGTGGAATTGTTAGCTTCTAAACTGAACTGCTTGTTCAGGTGGTCTTTGGGAGCAGCCAAGGGCTGGCAGAGTCTCTAGCCAGAAGAGGAGTTACAAAAGGCAACTTTGTATGGGGAAAACCAGGGTCATGAAGTGATTTGTAATGTGTTAATTTGTCATACTGTAGTGTGTGGTCAGCTTTTTATCTTGTTTCCCTTGTGCCCTCTATATTTTTAGATTGTAAAAAGCTCTTTTTTCTTGCAATAAATATTATTCTACTGTTGCCTATAAAAACCCATTTTTAAATATGGTAACTTAGTAATTTACATATTAATTAAAAATGATTGGACTACAATGATTAATAATAATTACTGTGCACTTTATTTCCAGGAAAATGATCGAATCTAGTAATCTAAATTCTAGATACTTGGTTGGTTAAGTGTAGGAAGCTTTGACACTTGTAAGTATCTATAGAATGCTATGCTTGTGATGTTTCCTATGTAATTATTAACTGCTAAGCAGTGCAATTGGATATAGGAAAACACAAACTTGTTAACATAAGCCAAAAGGACTGTGAACAAATGTTCCCACTGTCCATGTATGCATGTATCTATGTATATTTAGTGTGTATAATGTGTTCAGTTTTTAGTAATTAGAATTTAGCCTTTTCATGTATGGACATTTTCACTTGCAAGTGTGGTTAAAGCTGTGAAGCCTCAAATATCACTCTGGTTGATGCTATCCAGCTATCATTATATATCTGTCAAGTAGGGTCACATCCCTTTTTTTGCTTTACAATACATACCTGAAACTTCTTGATTTTTCATGAAGTTTTCTGTTGTACTAATTTATATCCCATTTTTCCCCTTGAAAGTTCTTTGGAGCTTTTCTCAAGTTGGGCATGGATTTTAAGACTTTGAAAATTAGCATGAAAAGGTTCCAGGTCAATGAGAGTGATCTTTCAAAAAAAATTTTCTTTCACCTTTAAAAAAAAAGAAGAAAAAGAGTGATCTTTCACTCCATCCAAATATGAAATATCTATATTCTAAAAGATTTCCCCAAATATTTATCAGAAAAAAAAGATTCTCCAAATATCATTTACTTGATCCCATGCTTTGGTGGTGGTTGCATGTTCTTTAAAGATAGAGGGAAAGACAAAAGGAATCTGGATTCAGGCAGTGGGATTTGTTAGCTTGGCCTTTAATAGGTATTATTGGTATTACATAGAGTGGGATGAAGAATCTCACTTGTTTCCACATATGGGTGATAAGGCATGAAGGTTTTGAGCAAAAAGAAGAAGAGCACAAGAACTGATATTTATATTAGTCAAGGAGTGGGTGTCTAGAGGTTGAAGATAAGGGGATTTTGGGAGTCGATAGAATTAATGTAGTTGATTTTAGGGTGATAAGGCATGAAGAATTGAAGATAGAATTAGTGTAGTTGATTCTTGGGTGGGTTCCCCGAAGTATGTTTGGGGACTGGAGTTAGTGGAAAGGAAGTGAAGGATTGGGAGTTGGGCTTGGGGATTAAGTGCAAGGTTTCGATTTTGGTTCGAGTTAGTCAGGGGTTGATGGAGTTTCGAATGGCTGACTTGTTTAGGTCAGACTTGGCCTTTGCTTGATTCACTTAATTATGATGAGATTTTTAGGGATGCCTGTTGTCTAGTTGTCTTGAATGAGAGGGGTAAGTTTGCATTGGATTCAAGAGAGCCTACTAAAGTAAATTTAAATGCGTTGACATTGTCGATAGGAGGTTTGTTGATGCGGTGGAGGTGCCACTAGTGTTCGATAAAGGGGAGTGTTGGGGTTTTCAGACAAAGCCGAGGGCTAGTGGAAGCATAGTGACCGTGTAGGGGTTTTTTCTTGTGGGGAATCAACTTTGTCGCAGGAGATGGCATTTGAGGAGATGATGGTGAGCTCCTCAATTTCGGCTGACACCTTTGGAGCATTTGGGAGCCAGAAGACTGTTTTGGCAGGTTATGACTTACAGACTTAGTTTGTCATCTATTGATTGGGCTAGAGGAGTGATGGTGGTTTTGGGTTTGACTATGGCTTCCAATCTTCAGGATTTTGGGAGTTTGGTGATAGGGGAATTGGCAAGGTTAAATGTTAAACGAGGTGTTGACAAAAGGGAGAAGACTTGGTGGAGGAGGTTCATGTAGTAGATGTAGTAGGAAGATGTTTGCCTCTTTTGACAGTTGGGGAAGGAGTTCCTCATTCGTGTTCAAATGGTGTGCACGGTGCAGTTGAGTTGGCAGGCAATGAGGAAGATGTGGTGAAGAACCATCAATGAGGCTAGGGGTTTGGAGGTCAAAAAAATCAAGAATTTTGTTGGCATCCCTATTTGACGTGTAGGCAAAGACTTGGATAGGAAGAGGGTGGAGGGTGGAAAGTCAGGTTCAACAAGGGGATAAGGTGAAAAATAAAAATCCATGATCTCTAAAACGATGAAAGGTCCAAAAAATGGTCAATTGGTACATGTGACGAAGATTTTTGTGAGGGTAAAAGAAGGAATCTGTGGCACAAGCCCTTCCTGTAAATTTAAAAGGCTTTATTTTAGGAAGAAAGTGAAAGCCAGATTAGGTAAAGTTAAACAGTTCCTAGGAATTGGGTTGAAGGGGGACTGAGGATTTCTTCAGTAGTCAAGTGGTTTCTGTGTGTCAAATTGTTGGAGAAGAGGAGAGAATGAAGGTACCAATATAAGGATGGAAATTGGAGGAAATTCACTGTAGGGACCAGAAAATATAGAACTAAACCTATTGAAGATCTTGAAGGATTTGTAGTCAAGGCTTCAGATGTTTCTCATCAAGAGAGGGAGGTGGAAATGGACCAAACTTATATTGTGAATGGTAAGTTAGATCTAGATGAGGTGGTTAACAAGGAGGTGGAGGTAAGTAAATCTTAGGCTTATTTTTCCATGGGGGTGAGGACTTGGCAAGAAAAGCTTTTAGTGAATGGAGGCCAATTTACAAAGAGGAGAGGTGCATTGGTAGGTGTGGAAGACAATTCTTTTTGAGGCTAGTCTCTTGGTTTTCTGTAGGTGGTGGGAAGAGGTAAATCTTCTCTTTTATTAATTTTCAGAAGAAAGGTCCAGGCCGAACCAAACATACATAAAAGAAACTAAAAGTTAAAAGGCCCAAGACCATATCACTAGACCTTACAACTAGGCAGATGAAAAATTCAGCTTCTTTTTAAACTGTTCTATAATTGTCTTCTATATTAGGCATTAAGACAAAGTTTTTTTGGTTAATTTTTTGAATGGAAATGGAAATTGCTTCTCAGGGATCATGATACAAACTTTTTCTCTTCCTCTTGCTTTATAAACTGTGAATTCTCCATTATTTTCTTGGTTGCTTTCAGGTCTGAGAAGGAGTTTCTTTATCAAATTCTTGAAGAAGTTATCAAGGCTGGGGCAACAACTTTAAACATCCCTGATACTGTTGGTTGCCTTTTGGAAGATGAGTTTGCACAATTGATTGCTGATATTAAAGCCAATACCCCTGGAATAGAAAATGTGATCATATCTACACACTGCCAAAATGATCTCGGCCAAGCCAGTGGCAACACTATAGCAGTAAGCTATCATTTTTTTTCCTTCTGATACAGTTCATGCATGTCTGAAGTGTACTTATTCGCACTATATCTAATCCAGGGAGCGCGTGCAGGCGCAAGGCAACTAGAAGTAACTATCAATGGCATTGGTGAAAGAGCTGGCAATGCTTCCTTGGAGGAGGTATGAGTTTGGTTGTCCATGTAACATCTATGGTGGACAGTGGACTAGTGGCACTTGTTGCATATTAGTGAACATGATTTAGGGTTTAGTACATAATAGTCTAATCTTAAATGGACTTGGTTACTTTTTCCTTTTTTGATAATATGCTTATTTTTTTCAGCCATCAATATCTTGAGCTTTCTTTCTTATCTTTATTTTACTTTTGTTGGTAATAATTATATACATGGTTTTTTGATTAGTGACAATTAAAGAGATTTTATAAATGATGGGAAATGTGTACAGATGTGCTTTGATAGGTAGATAGCCTTGGCTAGCCACCCCTACTATTGGGAATTACAAGTACCTCCTTAGTTTAACAAACCCCAAAACATATAATTTCTTGTAGCACCCTGTTTTTCCAACCCATCTGCTAGACTATTTGGAACTCAAGGTATAAAGTTGATGCCTATCCTCATTTGCTCTCTCAGGTTTCTGATTTCCCCAATCATATTCCTATAATTTCATGTATCCTACTGATTGCTCTCAAGCCATCTTGTAAAGTGGTAACTACCTTGGAATCCCCTATATTGCAACAAGGTAAGGATTGCTACCTTAGAAAGGGGTCAGCGGGTGAAGGGGGTTAAAGATTAATTTGGCAGAAGTAGATCTGAGGTAATGAAGGGAGGCTCTGCTACCTTAGAAAGGGGTTAGGGGGTGAATGAAGGGATGGAAGATCCATCATATGGATGGCTAAACCCTATAGGAAGGTTGGGCGAAATTTCAAAAATTTCTTTACTCCCATTCGGGAATCCTATTCACAATTTAGAAAATTGCATTTTCAAGGATTGAAGGGATGGGAGATTCATCATATGGATGGCTGAAACTTTGTAGGAAGGTTGAGCAAAATTTTAAAAATTTCTTTACTCTCATCCGGGAATCCTAACTGTGTTATCTACATAGATATGATTTTTAATCTATGTTCCATTTTCATTTATTCATCTCTGAGAGCAGTCTAACTGTGTTGTCTTCTCTCTGTATTCAATGAGTGTGTCTTGAAGGTTCGCCTTGCTCTCTTATTTATAGCCTTAAAGAGACAATTTCCTAATCTCATTAGGAGTTTCATGATCATTTGGATCTGGACTCTTTAAGTGATAAGGATAATCCCTTATCTTACATGCATGAGTAGAAGCCTCAGAGTCAATACACTAGGAAGCAGAAGTCACAAACATATTAGTTTCTATGACAAAGGATTCACAATTACCTTGTTTCTTGGTCTCTAGGTACTGAGGACAGTTCCTCTTCCAGTGGCCGGTCTGTTTGTAGAAGTGACAAGCATCTGATGCCTTGTCCTTCCTCTGCTTTTTAGGCTTGCTAGTTTTTTTTTTTTTCCTGAGGTTTCTTCTTTAACTTCTTCTTCTTGCCCGATTTGCCACCTTCAACAAGCATGGCAGTGGGCTCATCCTTCTTTATCAGTTCCTCGACCCTCTACAACATATTGCTGAGTTCCTGAAAGCTAACATTTAGCTTGTTCATATTGTAATTCATTATGAATTGATTGAATGAAGGAGGCAAAGAGTTCAGGATGGCATCAACTTTGTTGACATGATCTAGCCCAGATCCAAGAGCCTTCAGTTCATTGGTATATCCCATCATCTTAAGACAATGGTCATGAACTAGCTGGTTCTTGGACATTTGTGCAGTCATAAACTGCTTTAGGACCTTCTGACGAGTAGAACGATTATGCTCTTCATACATTCTCCTTAGACTACCGAAGATATCCTTGGACACTTCGATCTGATCGAATTGTCACTGTCTAAGGAGGCTATGATATAGCATCGGGCAAGAGAGTTTCTCTTCCCATTCTTGATATTCCCTCCTGCGGGCCTCAGAAGCCCTATCACCTAGACGTTCCGGAGCAGGGTTGTTAGCTACCTTATCCAATTTCTTAGATGTCAGGATCAGCATAAGGTTTTCGATACTAGTCAGCGTAATTTGGGCCCTTAAGCTTGTTGTCGTCCAACAGTTTAGCGAATTGTCCGTTTGCCATTTCTGATAAAGGGCAAAGCAAATATTAGTTCAGAACTTTATTTGATTCATGTTTTTTTTTGATGACTAATAGTAAGTTTATTGATTCAGAAGCAAATTAGAGTGAGTTCATACATCATCCTAGTGAGAGGTGCGAGTTGCAGCCCCTCCTTGAAACTTACAAGTAAACTAGGAAAGAAAACAAGAATCACAACTGAGCCCAAAATAATTCTTCCCTATTTACCCCTTGCTTAGCTAACACATCTGACAAGGTATTTGCTGATCTCCCCACCCACTGTACAGTGACCAACATATTCCTTGTCAACCAACTA